GGGGAGGGGAGGAGAGTGGAGGGGGGAGGGGGAAGGAGAGGGGGAGAGTCTGGCCCAGGATGTCTTGGGCCAACCCAGAGTCCAATGCTCAGTTGAGAAACCGGGCTGAGTTTCCCAGACTCCCCCAGTCAGCCAGGAAGCCGGTCCTGTCTCTCTTGGCTAGGTTTGGCCCCCATCCCACAGAACCTGCCAGGAGTGGAGAGATTATCTCCTAAAAATAGGGCCTGGGCCCCACTGAGGTTATTTTTCTTCCTTCCCCGTGATTTACCATCACCAGTTCGGGGTGCTTGGGACAACAAGTGCCCCCTGGCTCCCCAGAGGCCAAGGGGATGAGGGTGTGGGGGAATCAGCATGTATCTGGGAGAGTCAAGGATCAAGAATTGGAGGGAGTCTGGAAGTATAGTTGGGGCTCAGCCAGGCATCAGGGCCACAGCTTAATCTTTAGGCCAGGTGAAAGTGTTCACCTGGGTACTGGCAATTCCAGGGTGAGCTTCAGGGATCCCTATCCCACCCAAAGGTGGTCATCTGAGTGATCCCCTCTTCTCTGACTTTCTGCAGGTCCTCATGCTCTCACCAGTCTCTCCACAGCACCCAAAGGGTCTACACCAGGGCAGGAGGATGCATCACCTTTCCTGCTCCAGCCCATGACACCCTCACAATTTCAGTGCAGACCCTCCCTGGCAGCTCTGCCTGGGCCGGGTGCTGGTGACACACACAGGGACGGGAGGGTGTGTGCGCACAAACACAGGACAGAGAGAGCCCTAGCAGGTGTGCTCCCAGGTCGGATATGTCCAGGAGGGCACATAATGGCAGCTCCAGGACGCCCCTCAATGTCCCCTGGAAGCTCAACCCAGCTGGGTCTCTGACTGTCTGAGGGATGACCCACCTTGCTGGAGCCTCATGCTCGCACCTAGAGCCAGTATGATGCTCCCGTCTTTTTCCCACAGGGGCCCAGGCTTCTCCCTCAACCCCCAGCCCTGACGCTTCCAGTTGCAGCAAGAGATGGGGAAGGGAGGAAGGACGCAGATGACACCCGCCCACGTGGACTCTCGGACACCGGCACAGCAGCCCTCCTGGCTCTCGGGCCTTTATTATTGGACAGACATGCTGCATTCAAGGAACGTCCTCAGGCACCCTTGAAGTGAGCGTTCAGGCTACGCAGACCTGTCCGGCAATGTTGCTCCATGCCAGGACAGGCGGAGGGGCTTCTGCTCTGTTCCTGACCCCTGGGATCTGGAGAGCTGCGCCTTCTCTCAATGGCTTCAGGTGGAGGTCATGCCCCCAGCTCTGGCTGCCTGGACCAATCAAGCCCCTGCCTTTAGGGGCATGCTGTCCATTGGCTGATCTAGGTCCTTCTTCCTCGCCAGACTCAAGTGCGTGAAGATGAGGATGAGCAAGAAGCCTAAGGGACCCGAGACAGATGGTTCAGCCCTCAGAGGGGGCCGTGGGGCTTCTCCAGCCTCAGTAAATTTTTCTAGACAGCACCCCGAAGACTGGGCTGGTGTGACTCTGTGGTCCTCAGGCCTGAAGAAGCCTGTTTGAGCTGCCCAACCCTCCCCAGACCCCTGCCCCCATGAGGCTGTCCCAGAACATCCCAAACCCCAAAGTCCCTTTGTCTGCAGAACAGTTTGATGGTGTGGAGTAGGGGGAGAGGGGCTGAGCTGAGAGCAAGAGAGTTGTTCCTATGCACCTTGCAGAAAGGTATGTTGTAGCTTTGTGCTAGAAGGAGCACAGAAAAGGGGAGTGGGGACTAAGAGACTAAAGAAATAAGGAAGGAATTAGGCTGGAATGATCCCGCACAATTCGCTTAACTTGTCTGAGCCTCAGTGATATCATCTGGAAAATGGGGAGATGTCAGGATCTACCTCTCAGGCTTACAGAGAAGATTCATGCTGTTACCCTCTGCAGGGCACGGGCCTACTCACAGTCAGTGTGATAACGTAACAGTGATTGCTATCACCAGTGACAAGGGTGAGGATGGTTATAGCCGGAGGCAGAGCAGAATGACTAAGACATTTGGGGAGGGGGCTCCTTCTTCAGTCCTGGGGACAGGGGTACTCTTTATCCAGATGCCGTGGGACCAAGCCTCCCCCCCCTCCATCCAGGAGCCCAGCCTCTATTACCTATCACTACCAGGGTGCCCACGAGGGTGCCCACTGCCGCCAGCTTCGTGGGCATGCCCTTCATACGGCCCACCTTGCGCATGCACTGTCCATCCACGTTGCAGCGACACACACTGACTGGGGGGAGGGGCAGGGGAAGAAGGTGAGGGCTTCTGGGAGCCCAGTCCAGCCGGCTGGTGGGTATGGGTGTTTCTCTGCACGTGCATGTCCCTCGGGTCTGTGTCTGGCCGCAATGTGCAGGTGTGCACTGGCGTATGCTGCCCGTGAGCCCGCAGTCACGCGTGCCCAGCGCCTCCCTCAGGTATTGCAGGCCACGAGCTCTGCAGCTCTTGAGCCCTGCTCTCACCTCGGACCTGGAGCTGCCACATCTGGGCACCGTGGCTGACGACCACAGGGATTATATGTTCACGTGGCTCCACCCAGTGCAGGGCCAGGGTGAGGTAGGCATGGGAACCTGTTGGGACCATCAAAATAACCGGAGTCACTAGGCCAGACAGTCCTCTGGGGCCTGCTTCCCATAGGCCCAGGACCAGCCCACTGTGCAAAGGCATCAGATAGGTAGAAGCCACCCCCCCCTTGGCCACAGCCTCCCCCACTTCCGACACACCATTGAGAGCCCAGAGGCGCCAGTCCCGCTGCACCGTGGGGTTGGGACCAAGGGAGAAGCTGTAGGGACCGTGCCCGTGAGCCGGGTCGGGGTCTTTGCTGGGCCCGCTGACGACCACGCCGTGGTCCTGGCGGGGTGTGCAGAGGTGTTGCGTGGGCACAAGGGTGGAGGCAGAAGGGGCCTTCACGAAGTGGATCACAAGGGTCGCAGAGGTGCTCAGGGTCGGCTCATCTGCAGAGTAGGTGGGGTGAGCTGGTCCAGGCCCTTGTGAGGGCCAGGCACACCCCAGGGCTGGTCCCTTACCCAACGGACATCCGCCTCATCCTGCTGAGCCCTGTTCTTCCATCCCATCCTCTTTGTGAACGGTGTTCCCCCACAATGCATTTTGCCCCTTTGGCCATCTAAACAGTGGCCCCCGCCTTTCTAGATGCCAACCTGTCCTCGCAGCCCCACCCCCACCACCCCCATCGTTGCTGCCTGCAGACAGCCGGGGCAGCCAGGGGCCCGATGTGGAAATAGCCTGACTGTATGCCCTGAAATGCCCTGCACCACGGGACAGCACCGCTTGGAGCTGAGACCAGCCTCCCTGGCAGGCCTGGGCCAGGCCGACCCTTGGTGCTGTCGGCAAGGCAGGCAGAGTCCTCTGCACCTGCCTTGCTGCCCACTCAGGTTACCTCCTGGCAGGCCCGCAGCCCTCCTTCCTCCTGCCCACCCCATCTACTCCTGCCTGTGCTTAGCTAAGCCAATACCCTGAGAGGGCTCAGGACTCAGGGGCGGGGTGGGGCTGCAAGTGTTAGCCTACGAGAGGGGTTTGAGAGGACAGGTAGTGGCCAGGCCTGCTCACCTGAGGGTCCAGCCATTCTCACAGAGAGACCCCAAATCCAGCCCTCGTCCCTCCCTTCTGCCTGGGGCTGAGTGGACACCAGCAGGGGCCTCAGGGAGGAAGCCCAGTCCCGCCCTTGGTCTTCTGAGGCTCGCTGGCCCTCCCCGGGGCCCACACAGCCTGGCCATACCTTCTTTCCGGGCCTCCACAAGCACTGTGTACCTGTCCCCGGGCTGGGCGCCCTGCAGGGGCCGGGCCGTGTGCACCTTCCCCGAGACCTCCTCGATGTAGAGCCAGCCCTTTGAGTCATTGACCAGGGAGAACCTTCGGCCCAAAGAAAATGGGGGGGGGGCACGGGGTTCACATATAGGCTGTTGCCTAGACATGCCCAGGGCATGTGAATGCAAGTTCCGCATCCTCTCTATGACTGGGGAGTGCCTGGGGGTGCGGGGGCAGAGGGGGGGTGTCTAGCCTCTCTGGCTTCAGGGACTTGTTGGGGCGGAGCTTGAACCAGGGACACTGAGCAGAGGGCAGACTGTGAGCGCCTGGGGCGCCCCACACAAGCCCGCTTCTTCCACATCATCCCCACAAAAGAGCGGCACAGGGCCTGAGCCTGGAAACTGCCTGTCATTGCTGCACCCTGGGTGAGGGTTGGGAGAGAGCCTGGGGCCAGGACAGCCGGGAGTCATCGCTTGAACTCTCTCTCACTGTGGGGGGCTTGGGGGGGGCAATCTCCCTTTCCTCACCCTGCTTGGGGGGGGCAATCTCCCTTTCCTCACCCAGCCCTGATCCCGCCCTCCCAGGAGTCACAACCTCGGCATAAGCCCCAGTTTGAGGACCACCCCAGCCCCCTCTGAGTCTCTGGGGTATCCCTGGTGAGCAGGGGAGACCCAGCCCAGGTCAGCTGGGTTTCTGGCTCACCTGAGAGAATTGCTCACGGGGCCAGAGGGCTGGATGGTCAGCAGGAGGGAGCCGGCTGGGGTGCTGACAGGGACGCTGGCTTTATAGCTCTGTTGGTCCAGCTTGGGGCCAGGGACCACCCTCTCCACCAGAACAGTCACTGTGGCCGTGGCGCCAGGCCCGGGGCCTGGCCCGGCTGGTTCTGCTGCGCTCAGTACCACCACCACCACCTTGTAACTTGGAGCTGCCTCGTAGCTGAGTGTCTGGAACCAGTGGGGCCTGGGTCACTGTGGGGGCAGGGTGGTACACGAGTGTAGGCGTGTGTGTGTGTGTGTGTGTGTGTGCGTGTGAGTGATGGTCAGCCCTCCCCTCCCCCACCCCTCCTCACCTTGAGGAGTCGCAGTTGGACCTGGTTGGAATCTGGCTTCCAGTCCAGGCCAAAGATGCCCTCTTCATTCCCTGCCCCAATGGCAAAGTCCATGAGGCGAAAAGCAGGTTCAAGGTCAGCATCAGTGGCCTTGAGTGTGGCTACCAGAGTCCCAGGCTCTGCATCCTCAGGGAGGGTTATGGGCCCAACCTGGCGAGATGGAGAGGGGCCGTGAACCCCAAAGCAGTGTCTTTCCGAGGCTCCCTCCCCTGTTCCTGCTTACCTGGGACGTGGTAAACTCGGGGGCATGGTCATTGACGTCCAGGATGGTGACAGTAACCACACAGGTGCTGCTGAGGCCTGAGGTAGGAGAGGGCATAATGGGGGGGTCCAGGACAGCAACAGAGGGACAGAGGGCCCCGACCACCACCGGCAGGGCACTTACCACCCTCTGCTCCTCCTAGGTCAGCGGCCAGCACCTGAAGCAGGAAATCCTGGCCGGCTTGGAGGGGGGCGGCCCCCAGGGTGACACTGCCAGAGGTAGGGTCCAGCTCGAGGGCTTGCTCCTTCGCCCCCTCCTCAGGCTCGGGGCTCAGCAACCGATACACAATGTGAGAATTGAGGGAGCCAGGGGCATCTGCATCCGTGGCCAACAGACTGGTCACTTCGGTGCCTGCGAGACAGCATCCACCCGCTGGGACCTGATGTCCTGGTTCGCCCTCTCCTCCCCCATACTGTGTGTCACCCCCACGCCCGACAAAGCCCACAGCCCACCTGGGGGACTGAGCTCAGGGATGCCGACTGGGGGGCCGGAGGGGGGGCAGACGGGTGCGTTGTCGTTCTCATCCATCACCACCACATGCAGCTCCAGAGGGTCTGTGTAGTCCTCGCCACGGCTGTTCTGAGCCCGCACCTGGAGCAGGTACTGTAGTAGGCAGGCGGGGCTTCAGGTGAAGGTAAGGACGGCCCCCGCCAGGGCTGGGCCTGGCTTCCTTTCTGGTAGCCAACTCTGGTTCTCCTGGGATCTCTTCCACTGCCTCAGCATCAGGGGGGATATATATAACATCCCAGAAGGCAACAAGACAGTGCCCAAGCACCCCTGAGTTAGCTCGCACAGCACCCCCTTCCCGCACCTCAGCCTGGGCTTCTCGGTCCAGCTCCCCCGTCACGTAGAGTTTCCCCTCTGCATCCACATCAAAGGGTCCAGGGGGCTGGCTCTCCAGCTGATAGTGTACATTCCCCCCACTCCAGTGTACCTGGGAGGAGGACACAAAATCAGGACACCCCAGAACGGAGTTCATGTCAGCTGTTCGTGGGTGGGGAGCTGGGCCCTGACCACAGTGTGACTCCAGGCAAGTTGCTGCTTCCCTGAACTCCAGGCAGGGTCCTTTAGTTTGGGACATTGTTTCAGCAACTCCACAGTGGCCTTGCCCTGGTCCAAGACAGGACCCAGCCGACAGTGCTGACCCCAGCCCTCCCTGGCTGGGCCTGACCTCAGGGCGTTCCTCAAGGAGGCCTGAGACATTCCTGGCCTGGGTGACAATCCCCGTGGCAGTAAGGAGGTGGCAGCTGTTCTCCCCAGGACAACTTGGGCTAACCAGGAAAGTCAGAGCACAGAGCCACACCCGCCAGGGAGCAGGGGAGGGCGTGGGCCTGGGCCTGGGGCTGGAATGGCTCCATCATGGGAACTTCTGGGGGCAGTGGCAGGAGGGGCACAGCAGGGCAGAAGCAGGGTCCCCACCCCCAACCCCCCAGCCGATTGTTATACCCTCAGGGCCACCATACCAGTCATGGGGCCCCTTCAGTCACTGACAGCCACTCGCCCACCTGGGTCATGCTGTGTGGGTACAGGACTTTCAGATTCTCTGCCAAGCGGACAGGATCCAGGGGCACCCAGGTGCTCTCTACTACTGAGACGTCTATTATGGCTGTGGCCTGGTAGCCCGAGACTTGGTCTCCCATGTCCTTGACCTGTACCAGCAGCTGGTAGGGCCCCCCCGGGGCTTGGTGTAGGCCGGTGCTCCCTAGAAGGGGCAGGTTGAGAGGTGGGCTGGGAGCAAGGAGCCAGGGCATCCTTCGCAGAGAGCTACCGCACAAGAGCAAGCCTAGGGCAGGTGTGTGGGGTGCTCTCTTGGTGAGGAAATGAGGGGGACGTTCAGCACCATGCCACAAGGACTTGATAGTTTGCAAAGCCACTTTTATATCCTCATAAGGAATGATTGATCGGTGGGCTGGAGGGGTGTACCCGGCATGGGGAAAGTAGAAGAGTGGAGGACTCATTCAAGAAATGGGTGGTTCACCAGGTGGATGGGCGTGGGCTTGGGGAGGGGCTGTGGGTGGGTGGGTGGTTGGGTGTGTGGGTGTGGGGGGTTTGTAGGTTGGGGGGGTGGTGGGGGGGGGGGGGGTGGGTGAGGGTGGGGGGGCCGTGACAGGGTGTGGACCGCACATGTTGCTGTGTGGCTGGTTGGTGAACGGGCAGCTGGCTGGCTGGGAGTGTGGTTGACTTTTTCTTTCCATCCCCAGATCCTGTCTCTGGTCTGAACTCCCAGCTCCAAGTCTCTCTTGTCATCAGGTGCACGGTCTCCCAGCACAGTTTTGGGTTACAACCCCTCAGGACTCTCTTACTCTGTGCCAGCCCCTTCCTCCTCCCTCTTTGCCCCCCCACAAGCCTCCAGAGTCAGAGGGGAAGAACCCCAGTCACACTGTCTGAAAGGTCAGCGCTTGGTTCTGCCTGCATGGCTCAAGCTTGGCCTTTGCCTAGCAAGCCTCCCTCTCTAGAATGTTCTTCCCTTTTCTTGTATCTCTCAAGCTTCCGCCCATCCTTCTCTTGCTGTCTCCCACTGATCCCCCCTTCCTGCCTCCCAGCCCAGGCTCACCCTGGGGGCTGAGGGCCAGAGCTCCCAGCCGAGGCTCCAGCTGGAACATGTCAGCAGAAGGCTGGGCTGGGGCCTGGTGCACGAGGTGGAATCGGAGATCTGAGTTGGCTGTGCCTGGTTCATCCCCATCCGAGGCCTCAAGGAAGAGGAAAGGGATACCTAGAGGGCATAGACAGGACAAACAAAAGGGGTGGCAGGTGATAGGCGAGTCTTTCATGCACCCCTACCTCTCCAGCCCTTCCCTACCCAACATCATGTCAGCCCCCTGGCATGAACAGGGGCTTCTCATCTCACTTCACTGATGGGCAAACTGAGGTCAAGAGTGGATGGGACTTGCCCAAGGACCTTCAGTGGTCGGGGCAGGATGGAACAGAAATGGGAGCCTGCAGGATGGACTCCAGCTGCCCTGTCCCTCGGCCGCCTCTCTGGCCCTCTCTTTAGTCTCTGGTCTCCCGTAAGTGCCCACCTGACCGGGCTGTGAGCTGGATGCCCTGGGCACTCACCAGGCCTTGTGCCCTGGCTCAGCTGAACTCTGTAGAGAGCCTGGGAGAATTGAGGCACCTGGTCGTTCTCATCCTTCACGTGCACACGCACCGGCTGCGGGCCCCACAAAACGTGGCCGTCCTCGGCCTCCAGGGTGACCTGGCAGGGAGGAGAGTCAGCGCCTGGCCCTACCTTGGCCTCTCAGGCCTGCCCCTGGCCCTGCCCTACCTGTAGCTGGTATTCCGCTTGTTCTTCTCGGTCCAGGGCCCTGGTCGCCAGCAGGAAGCCAGACTCTGTATCCACGGCAAAGGGACCCTCAGCGGCCACGTCTGCATTTACTGACAGCACAATCTGGGCCTCGGCCTTCTCATGGGGCAATGGCAGCTGGTGGGCCAGAACAGAGATAAAGGCAGAGTGTCCAGGCCTGGGGGCCTCTATCCAGTGGCTCCTGACCCCAGGGGAGGGCTAGAACTCGCCTGGGGTCACACAGCCAGTGGCAGGACTGAGATTCAAAGGCAGAGATCCTTCCCCTGTACTCCCCATGTTTCTTTCTGAAGCTTGACATTCCACCACCAATATTTCATTCTTTAATTTAAAACTCTACTTGCCTGAGATTGAAATCTCATTAGTCTTTCACCCTATACCACATCCTCTCTGGAGAGCAGGGTTAAAAAGAAGCCAGGGTAAGAAAGAGAAAAGAGTGCAGGGGCCAGGAGAATTCAGGGAGAGGGGGAGGGGAGGGTTCACCTTGGCCAGGTACAAAGGGAAACTCCCCCCGTAGTTCTCCGGAACTTCCACATACAGCTCTGGGGTCTGGGCCTGGAGGTGAGCCTGTGGGAGGATTCTTGCCTCATCACCAGGCTCCGTCTTCCTGCTGTTGGGCACTGGGCACCTGACAGGGAAGGGGTTGCTGCCCTTCCCTGGGCCTGGCCTCCTTTCACCCATCCACCCTCTGTGTGGGACCCCACACAGGCCTGTAGCCAACGTTCACCTGGTCCCCCTTCAACTGCAACCAGCACGGCCCAGGTCAGGCAGGGACAAGAGAGCTAACCCTAAAGCCGGAGTCTGGAAAGGAGGAACAGGCCCAGCTCACCTGGGGGATGGACAGGCAGAGCAGCCACCACCAGGCTGGGGCCATGGTCAGGACGGGCCTAGGGAGCAGGGTAGTAAAGATCTGGCTTAGACTGGGGGGCGGGAGGCCCCTCCCGTGCCCCTCTTTCCCTAGAATGCGCTCCCCCTCCGAAACCCCATTCAAACGCAGGCCAGGGCTTCCCCTAGTCCCTGGGGTACAATGTCCCCCTTTCTTTAGGACCCCTGCTACCGGCCCCTGTGGGCAGGAAGCCAGGCTTCCCTCTGCCTCTTGCTTCCTGTGCTGTCCTGGCAAACTCAGCACTGCCCTCCTCACCTGCCTGGACACTGTCCCGACCCTGTGTCCTGCCTCAGCCAGGACACAGCCAGACTGGCCTCTTCTTGCACCCCTTGCAAGGGCTCCCCATCCCCTGTGGGGTCATGTCCAGCTTCTCAGCCTCTGGTGCAGGCCCAGCCACTCTGCCTCTGGGTTGTCGCCTCCATGGGAGTTTCATGACCACCCTTTTATTTGCCGCCTCCCCAGCTCACAGATCCCAATGTGGTCATTTCCCAGCAGCTCCCCAAATCCCAAAAGTTTGAAGTTGTAAAGACTTTAGTAACTCTGAGGGCCCTGCCTGCAGCTGTGGAAAGGCCTGAAGGGCAGGGCGTGACCAAGGTCACGGAAGACTCCACTGCAGGAGTCTGTGCTTCCACAAACAGGCTTCTGGTTCAGGCCCAGGACAGGGCCGCCTCCCGCTGCTCTGTGTCTTCAGACAGAGTCCCCTGGGGAGGGACCTGCCCTCCCCTTGGTGGCATTTGCCACACTTGGCAACAGTGATCACAGAGTAATGGACAACCAACCAGCCCAAGACGACTCTCCAAACTCTTCCCTGGACCACGGAAGACGGGGCGGTATTTCTCGCTCCCCAACTCCCGCCAACCCCAGCTCTGCCCACCCTCTGTCCCACTCACCCTCTGGTGCCTAAGGCTGGCTCCCTCGGTCCAGCCACTGGGCGACAGCGCTCCTTCTCCAGGGAGTGCTGGCCAGGCCAGGCCAGAAAGGAGGGCAGGGCGGAAACTTGCTCAGGAGTGGAAAACACCACTGGGCCCACCTCAGCAGGGCTGGCCCCGCCCAGCCCCCCAAGTTACTCATTGACTTTGGGAAGCAGGCTCAGCATCCGTGACTGCCAGCCCCGGGAGCTGCGGGCACAGAGCTGGCACGTCTCCCCCCCCTCCACAGCCCAGTGGGTTTTCCTTGGCCCCTCTGGGCATGGTACTTCTTCTCCTGCGACTCCAGATTCCATCCCGCTTGTACCCAGCAGTCAGCGTCAGAGCTTCAGCTTGGCCCACTCTGCTGCTCCTGCCTGGAATTCCACTCCCTGTCCTTCACCTGCCTGGTGAGCTTCTGCCCAGACTGCAGTCCTGGGCTCAAATCCCCCCTCCAGGAAAGTTTCCCTGGGGTTCCAGCCTGGTTAGGGGTTCTCTGGGAATTATTTTACCCCTCCACCCCCGTCCCGGGCCATGTGCTCCCTTTGCCAACACAGAGAAGATACCAGAATGTCACTGCCTGCCTTTTCCAGCAGACTGGGCGGCCAGGGCAGGACTCAGGGACCCAGCGGTGTCCTGGCACTTACCCGGCAGCTCTGACTGGCAGTGGAACTGAAACAAGGAGACGGAGTTGCAAGTGAAGGATACAAGAGCAGTGTGCACTCTAAACTGGGTGCTGGGGGACTCCAGACCCCCCAGCAGCAGGCCAGTGGGGAGGGGGACAGTGGCCAGTGAGGAGTCCCGCAGCGCCTGAACTACTACAACTAAGTCCTGCATCTCAGGCCCCAAAGGAAAAGCTCAGGTGACCTTGAGGGACTAGTGAGGCTGACCTGGGGCCCCTCCCCCAGTGAGGCAGCCTATGGAGCAGAGAGAAGCTTCTTAGGGCCTAGCAATCTGGGATGAGGGGGAAGGTGGGCAGGACCAGGGATCCTGGTCTCTAGTCCCCCCTTGTTCTCTGAGATCCTGGTCTCTAGTCCCCCCTTGTTCTCTGAGCTTCCGGTCGAGTCCCCTAAGTCCTTCCCATCACAGGTCTGGCCAGCTTCTCTCAGGCTGGAAGCTAGACTGGGATTGCTCAGCTGCCCCCAAACTCGTGTCACACACTAAGGATCTGCCTGGGGGTCAGACTCCCCGACTGAGAGCCCTACAGCCCTGTTTGAAGGGGCTCCTACTGTTAAGTTCCTGCTGTGTGCCTGTACTGCACGGAGCATAATGACGTGTGCCGAGCATATATTTCACTCTTCCACTCACTCTTTTCTGAAGGGGGTAAGACTCCACGTCACACACCGGGTGCAGAAACGCTGATGGCTTTCCCAGGGTCACACAGTCAGTCAGTGGGCAGAGCCAGGTAGGTCTGGCTTCTTCTTCAGGCCTCGGGGCCCTCACCTGCTCTGAGAAAACATGACCTCTACATGCCTTCGAGTATGTAGGGGCATCGAAATGGGGAGCAGCAATGGGTGTGGGGCATTAACATTGCCCTGGGGGCGTGTGAGTTAGCCAGAGGGGTCCCCACGCTGAGGAGCAGCTCCCAAACCTCCTTCTGTCAGCCAGCGACAGAGATCTGTGTTCTAACCAGGTGTGAGAGACCCCAGGGGTCTGTGAAACAAGTAAGCTGCACCAGTGAAGGAATGTGTGGGCCCCGACCTGGAACCTTCTCAGAAACTATTCCCAGTCTTGCCCCAGGCTGTCTGCAGGCTCTGGAGAAAGGCAGGCCTATGCACCAGGTCCCCTTCCACCCCTTCTACCCATGTAGCCTCCGCCAAGAGCCTTTTCCCACTTGCCACTGACCAATGCAGATGTTTGTTCCTGAAATGATGTAGGCACATGTGCCCAGGAGGATGCCCCTCTCCAGGTGTGGGTGATGGGGAGATGGGAACGCCTCTGGCTGGTAGCGAACATCACACTTTCTCACATAAAAGCAAGGCCTCTCATTTCAGGCAGGGTGGGCTCCAGGGACTTGTTTCCACCGAGACCACATGAGCTGAGCTGAACTGAGCTGAGCTGAGCATGGGAAGCTCTGGCCTGGGCCTCCTCAGAGGAGAAAACACGTGCCTCCTTCCCCAGCAGGGGCATCTCAGACAGACGCCCCACCTCAGTGGACTTCCAGTCCCTCAGGAGGGAGCAGGGCAGAGAGCCAGCCAGGGAGCCAGGGCCAGGGTTCTGATCTGACCATGAGGTCTGGGGCAAAGGATGCCCCCTTGGACGGCCTCAGTTTCCCTTATGTAGTATGAGGTGACTGAACCCTCTATCAGTAGGCCGACGCCAGCTCCCAGCACCGGAGAGGAATCTGAATAACCGGGAGGGGTTTGTCTCCTCTCCCTTACTTGGTCCCAACCAGGCCCCATCTCATACCTGCTCCCCACCTCCAAGCTGGCTACACCCAAAACCAAAGCCAACACTAAAATGGGGTAGTGAGTACCATCCCTTAACTTTGGGAGCCCTTCCTGTCATACCTCCCCCACTTCCTGCCCCTCAGGCAAACACATACCAGGGGGAGCCAACAGAGCCCTGACTTATCAGGAAATAATCTTTATTACAAAAATCTGCATGTAAACAAATAGCCACAGCACTGAGCAGCCTCCCTGCAGGGCGCACACACCCACGGGTGAAGCAAGGCCAAGTCTTCTCCCCACGCGTGGGCCTCCCGTCCGGCTGGGGTCGGGCAGTTGCTCGGGTCTCACGCGGGTCTGCACAGGCATGTCTGTGGGCCCAGCCTTCAGTGGCCACTGGGAGCCACCCCCTGGCAGCACCACCTGCCTGCCCCGATGAAGTGGGACACCCAGAGTCTGAGCCAGTTCCGAGGCACCTAGGGCGGTTGGCTGGGCCAGCCTACCAATCTGCCCATCTGTCTGTACAGCGAGGGGTGTGCCAGGGCCCTAGAGCACCGAGAGGTCATGGCAGGACTTGGACTTGGCACGGAAGGCCATCTTGCGGCTGTTGCGTGCTACCATGCGGCCCAGGAAACGCTTGGCCTTCTTGCTGAGGCTCTCTCGCCGCCGGGTACCCGCCTGCCTGCGTGCGTTGGCTTCTTTGCTGTCCCTGCGCAGGCGTATCTGGCGCACTACGCCCTCGAACAGCGCCTGGACGTTGTGGTGCAGTGCGGCCGAAGTCTCGATGAACTTGCAGTCGAAGACCACGGCGCAGGCGCGGCCCTCTGATGGGGTGGAGGGCGGGCAGGCACAGGTCAGTACGCGGAGGGTGGGTGGGTGAGGAGCCTGTGAGACCCGCCCGCCCCCCCAGGCACCTGCCACTTAGGGGTCCGTAGGGAAGGGAAGGGCGGGCCCAGGGTCTCCTCAGAAACAGACCTCAGAGCCTGTCCAGAGGGAGCCAGGCATGGCTGGTCCCCCACCAGACAGAGTCTGCCTGCACTGAAGGGGCTCACAGAGACCCCGAAAGGGAAAAGCAGTTATTGAAATAATCTGGTCTCATAATGAAATGGAAATGCTGCAGCAGTCAGCACCAGGAGATGAGGACTTGTCGGACAGCTTAGAGTTGTACAGTTTGCTGTTCTATCATGATGAATGACCAGGGGACTATGGGTGGGGGGTGGCGGGGGGGAGACTGGCCAGGTCCTGCTAAGGTCCTTTGATGGGGGACTAAGGAGACCTCAGAGGAGGATGCTGAGCCCCAGAGAGGGGCACCAAGAGGAGTGCCCTCCCCGGGGCAAGCCTATACTGGGGCTAGCCTGGGCTTGGAATCCAGGCTTTGACTGCCTGCCCTGGCTCCCTGCACTCTCCTCACCCCTCTGCTGTCAGGCCAGGGGCAAAGGGGTCCGGCAAGCAGCGCTCTGAGGTCTCCCAGGAGGCTTCCTCTCCCCCAGTGCGTCTGGCCTCTTCCCCACCTCCGGTCTTTGGGTGTCTGGTGGGAAGGCACAGGCCTGTCCCTCACCCCCTACTTCCTGAACACTTTCAGTCACAGATGACCCGCAGGGACTTGAGCTCAGCCTGGCCTGAGTGAACCGAAGCACTACCAGGACCTCCCTCCCCTTTCTGCCCGTTCCCTGCTCACCATCTAAGGAGACCTCCCGAGAGCGCACCAGGTCACTCTTGTTGCCCACCAGGATGATGGGCACATCATCCATCTGCCTTGCCCGGCGCAGCTGGATCCGAAGCTCTGAGGCCTTCTCAAAGCTGCCCTTGTCGGTCACAGAGTACACGATGACGTAGGCATCTCCCATGGCCATGCAGTGGCCGGGTAGCCAGTGGCCCCCGTCCTAGGGAACACCCACAAACACACATCAACCCCGCTGTTCTCATGCCCTGCCTCTGAGGCTGTCCCTCCCGCAGACCCAGGCCCTCTGCTGCCCCCTTCCCCACTGCCCTGCGTCTCCAGGTGCATCCTACCTGCTCCCAAATGTCATAGACCATGAGTGAGGTCTCTTCTCCGTCCACCACGATGGAGCGATCGTATGTGTGCCCTGGACAGGAGACCAGCAGCCAGGTTACCATCTGGGTGCCCAAAGCCCCTCCCACACCACCTGTTGGGCCACGCCCACCAACTCCTTCCCCGCTCCTACCCCTACCTGTCCTCCACTGGTGGCTAAGTAGCAACAGAAATGACAGGGAAAGTTGGGAGGGTGGGGGGCATGTGTGCCCCCCTGAGCACCCCTTCCCAGGCTAGCACTGTCCTCAGTGGTCACACCTAAGGTCCCTCCCTCTTGTTGCCTGGGTCCCGAGTGGCTCTGACAACAGGGTCTGAGTTAGAGTAGTGACCTTCAGACCCCCTGGGCATCTTGGTCACTCGGGCACCTTTCCCAGAAAGTCCCTCCAGCTCTGTTGCCACCACCCTGGCAGGGAGGGACATGCTACCCCTACGCTACAGGCATGCCCCTGGCCTTCTGTTCTGGGCATTTCTTCTAACACAGGATGGAGACGCTTCTCACTTAAGTTTCCCTGTCTGTGCAAGGGGGAGCTGGAGGTATAATTCTGAAAGTGCAACCCCGGAACCCCTAGCCCTAACCCTCACCTGCAGCCTCCGCTTCAGGTCCGTCCTCCACACCCGCGAAGATGCGCGCCAGGGCGCTCTTGCCCACGCCGGGCGCCCCCAGCAGCAGCACCTTGTAAACGCTGTCGTCTGAGTCGCTGCCCCTCGAGCTGAGCGATTCCGAGGAGCCCTCAGCCCAGTCCGCTTGGGCCGCGGTCCCGGCCACCGCCCCTGCCAGAGCGCCGGGCGCCAGGGCCGCCTGCAGGTCGCGTTCGTCCACCGGCATGCTGCGGCGGTGCAGCTGGGGCGCCGGGCCCCACGGGGTGCTGCCCCGACGGCGCTCGCGCTCCCGGCCCGCGCCGCGGCTCCCGCCCGCTACGCTGCCTCCTCCGTTCAAAGTCATCGCGTCCACGCGGCCTGGGAAGGGAAGCAGGAGGGTGCATTTCAGGCGCTGCGGACCGACCCGGGCACGCGTGGCCAACAGGTGGCGGGCCAGGCTAGATGCTCGGGACTGGGAGCTGCCGCCGCCCCTCCCGACCCTGAAGGTCCTCGACAGCCCGGACTTGACCCGCCCTACCGGCTCCATCCGCACCCCAGAACGGCGCGACCACCCCCACCCCGCTGCGCGAGGACACTCACCCACCGGCACACCGACAGTCACAACTAGGATCCGGACTCGGATACAAGCCACTGGCAAACTCTGGCGCAGACAAGCGACGATGCCGCAGCCGGCTCCTTCTCAGTCCACACTGGGTCCCGGCTCCAGAGCCGCCTATTTAAGCCTCTGCCCGCCCCCGCCCGCCCTCGCCCCGCGCTCGCCCGCCAGGTCCCCCGCCGCTGCGGGGGCTGACGTGTCCACCCTGCTCCCTCCGCCCCGCCAGGGGAATCCCCCACCCTCCTCCTAGGACCTCACACCACCCAGACCCCGCCCCGCCCCCCAGGGCTTGGGATGTGTGACTGAGGGTGTCTGGGGGAGGGCTTGATGGGGGAGGGGAGGGGAATAGGAGGTGGAGGGGCACGTGCCTTTATGGGTAGGGAAAGCCAGATGAGCCCAGGGCGCCAGAATTAGATGTGGCCCTTTAAAAGTGAATTCTCCTTTCCCTCTCTGAGCCCTGGCCAGCTGCCCAGTCCAGTACAGGCTGGACAGACTTCATCCTTCTCTGCCCATGACTCCCACTCCCCACTAGCTCATGTCTGAGCAAGAATTTAAGGGTCCTGAATTCCAACTTCTGGCCTCAACACCAAGCCTTTTCCACCCCTTGCCCTGCCCTAAGGAGCTGAACATTCTTCCTGCCCTTCAGAAAGGTTAGTGTCACCTCCCGACCCCAGGGGGCTTTGGAGAGCTACTTGAGGAGGGGACCAGGAAAAGTTGCCCGCTGGCAGTGTGTTGAAGTGCTTGAATTCTGGGGATGGAATACTGGAACTCAGTCTCCACCTCACCCCAGCCCTCCCATCACCCTCCAGGCAGCTGCCAGCAGCTCTGCTAAAAATATCTGGCCCTGGTCATTCTGCTGCTGGCCATTCGGCTACTGGGCTGGAGGTTGCCCAGTGTTGGGGAAATCCAGGCAGACAGGTGTCAGATGCCAACAGGCACTGATAGGAAGGGGGTTGGACCGGATCGGCCTGGATCCAGATGCTTTCAGTCTTCGATGTCTCCCTCTTGTCCTGTAGTCCAGACCGCCTGCAGGTCAGGAACAGCCAGAGTCTAGAGGTTCAGACTCCCACCAGGAGGGGAATAGTGGGTGTGGGGGAAATCTTAGCCACCACTGCCCAGAGCGTCCCCCAGCCCCAGCCCTGGGCGTTTGGCACAACAGGGAGAGTAGTGGGGAGGCTTGGTGTCTATCCTGCCTCCAGGCTCACAGTCTTGCCCCTGCCCGCCTCAGGCAAAGTTAGCATTATCTATTGGCCTTGTCACATCTGGGGTGTTGAGTATTGGGGGCAGGTAGGCTGTGAGGTACTTTGTCACAGGGACCTGCTATCAGACTCTGACGTTTGATGACAAATGTGGCGGGGGCGGGGAGCACGCATTCAGGGCTCAGGTGACATCACGGATGGGTGGATCTTGGTGGGCTGTTGTACGTTGTCATGGAGACCTGGGTCGGGTTCTCTGGCTGCTGCATCAGTTTCCTTGGCAACATCCTAGAGGGCTCTGGAGTCAGGAGGGCCTGGTTAGGTAAATGTTAGGGGTCTCTAAAGTAGGTGAAGGCTGAACTCGGGGTGTCCTATCCTTTTTTTTTTTAAAGATTTATTTAATTATGCATACAAGAACTGGGGTACAGGCCAGAGGTGGGGGGTGAGAGGATTTACCAGAGACAGAGTGGGAAGCAGAACAGACGGATGGATGAAGCACACTGCCGAGGGGAGCAGCAGGATAGACAGTAGAGGTCTGCTGTGCCCTGTGGGTCGCCTCCCTGACTTGGGATTGAACTCCTGCTTCAGTGGCTGTGGACAGCTTCTTTTAACCTATTGTGCCCTGTCCTGTCCCTTTGTGTCCTTTCCTGAATGAGGTTCAGTGGAAAAAGGGAAGTGTGGGTCAAGCCAGAGGACACAAGTCTAAGTAGCCAGCAAACCACTTCCCGTCAGCAGCCCTGGCAGGTTGCTGACCGCCCCTCCTGGCCATCTCACACATGACTATGCCCTGCAGACCCCATGGGTGTCCAGCTGAGGGTGAGTGTGGGGGGCTGCAGTGGTTCTTCCTTGCAGGGAGCCATGTTATAGGAATTAGGGTTGGCCTTCCCCTCTGGTAATCTGAGCTCTTGACTTCAGCAGTGTTTCCTCATTGCCAAGGGAACTGTATCCACACTGAGCCACTCAGGCCCCAGACATTCCCCAGCAGGCCAGAGCCACTTACCACATGCTTAGGTCTGACCAGGGGCCATGGGAACCAAGAGCACATGACCTTGACATGCCCCCACTCCCACCTCCTGGTCCTCCTGTTACAGGGTAGCCCAGAGTGGACTTGGGCTGCCTGTCTGTGGGGCCTTACCCTTCCTGCTCAAAATGTAATTTTCTGCAGGCACACACAGAAAGGGTAATGGGTTTATTATTAAAAAAAAAAAAAAAAAAAAAAAAGGTGGGGTGAGGAAAAGGAACCAACTGAGGGAAAGAGAGGGATACAAAGTAGCTGGAATACTTTACCAGCTTGGCTAACTTGGAGGTCTAGTCACAAACTAAGACTGCTAGCTCCAGCCCCACGGTCTCAGAGCTGTTGCTCCAGAGAGAGAGAACTGTTACCTCTCCAGAGTGTCAGTTGGAAAATTGCTCTCTATTTATACCCCGAAGTCCCAGAATGCCTGCTTAAGCTCCGCCCTTGGGTCCTCACAGTTCTCTCCCTGGTACTGCTGGGAGTTGTAGTTTCTAATCACTGGAGTAAAGGGTGGAGTCCAAAAAGCTGGAGTAGGGAGTGGAGTCCACAAGACTCTGCAGAGTTCTTTTAGGACATCCTTCCCCTTAACACTCCCAGCCCTCTGGGCTGAGCTTGATGGTGCAGAAGGAGCAAACAGAGGCTGAGACACCCCTTGGTATCGTAGCCTTCAGACCCCCGCCTGCTCCTTGCTATTTCACCTTGGCCCACTAACTGGCTAAGACTGCTTCCTGCTGGTTAGAATGGGAATAATGTCTTCCTGGAGGGGTGGGGGTTTGTTAGAAAATGTAAGTAACATGAACCACACCAGTAACCTGGTTGACACACCTGTGTCCACAGTAGTATCTGTGTAAGAACACTTATTATTTTCCTTAGTGGGAAGACAGCCTGAGTCAATCAGTTGCCCTCTCTTGCTTCTCTCTAGTCTCTCTGGAGTTCTGGTCTGTCCAGAGGAGGGACAGATGTAGATTCCTCTCCCCCATAGCTACCTTCTCTGTGTGGGGCCCTGACAGACTCTTCCCCCACTTAGCAAAATGTTATAAAGGGAACCAGGGTAGATGACCCTATACTCGGCCTCCTCACACAACGGCCCCCATAACCCAGGACCTCTGTTGTCCTAAGGTTCATCATTGGTTCATTCCATGGCTCTCTACTAAGTACCTGTGTGCCAGGCATTAGTGCTATGGGCATAAGAGTGAGCGAAAATGACAGCTGGGTATGTTCATACATGTTATCTAATCCCTGGGGCAGCCGCAATTATGATTTGTTGCTCCCACTTTGGAGACATGTTAACTGAGGGCTGAGCAATCATCGGCCAGAAACAGCAGCACCAGACATAACCTTGGGGAGGGCTTCAAGTATCTAAAACTTCATCACCCCTCTTTACTTCTGTGTCCTTAGGTGACAACTGTGATTCCAGAAAGTTCCTAAAATTTCCCTCAGCGCTAGCTCTGGATTCAGACAGTGTCCGTGCAGGCAGTCAGGGGCCAGGCATAGATGAGTCAATACTGACAAGGGACCATCTGATATGCCAGCTGTGACACGAGCTTAATGTCCTTTGCCCACCATGGCCTGGCTGCCAGGAGAGCCAGCTGAATGACTCAGTGACAGCTGCCTCCCACGTGACCCCAACTCCCAGCTGAACACAGACACCTTAGATAAATCAGGCTTTCAGTGAGGAGCTACATACGTGGTAAATCCCCAGCAGGAAGTGGTGGCTGGTTAGGCTCCCTGGTGCTTGCAGGGACCGGGTTGCCAGCTGATCCTCTACAGCACTCATCTTCATCTGTGGAAACCGGGAGTTGTGGGGGCGGAGAGGGCTGAGGTAACCAGAAGAGTGCCTTCAGTGAGCCTAGATACACTTTGTTGTTTCATGTTTTTTGTTGTTTTAATTTTTGGCCAGATATTTGTTTTTTAGACTTTGGATTTTTTTTTTCCTCCAAGGCTTCACTTCCCACTTAACTTTCTGATTTTGTGCTTGTGCCTTCAACAATTTTCTGTTCCTTAAGAAGAGCATGCCTGATCCGGGCAGAAATATGGAGCATAGCTAGAACTACCACCAGAGGTCCTGTGGACCTTTTTTTTTTTTCATTTCAGATGTCTCATAAAAAATTTAGGGCCCCGTCTGGTGGCTCAAGGGGTTAAGACACAGCACTATGAAGCTATGGCCAGCCACTGTAGCATGAGTTCGACCCTTGACCAGGGAGCTGACCCACATGGCGCAGCACAGCTCTCCTGTCTCACCTACTGGTCCCCTTGGCAGTGTATTTCATCAGTCGGCCTGTTCTGCTCCCCACTCTGTCTCTGGTGAATCTTTTCGCCCCCTTGCACTCTGGCCTACACCACTATTTATGCATAAATAAATAAATCTAAAAAAAAAAAAACTCTTCAAAGTTAGCCTGGGCACACACAGGGATTTTGGTGTTTTCTGGGTGTAAACGTTAGTAATTAGGAGAGGTTCAGGACAGCCTGGCTCTGTTAGAGGCTGTGTTGTAGGTTAGGCTGTGATGGTATGTCAAACACAGGACACTGTCCTCAAAAGAGCCCAGATTCATTTGCCAAGTGACTGTCATTACTATCCCCACCTGACACAAAGAACAGAGAGCTGAAACTTCACCCTGAGTTTGGGCAGCCAGTTTTAGAACTCTGCAAATTCTGTATTTGGTCTCTAGGTGGCAAAGTCACTCTCTCTCCAGGATGCAGGAGTTGGAGGTTGGATGTAGGCCCTTTTATGCAGGCAACAGCGCCCCCTGCCAGCTGAACAGTAGCTGCCAAGCTGCTCAAGGCCCCTTTTGGTGAGTAGCTGGGACTACAGTAGATTATTCTAGAAGTTCATTTCCTTACTTGCAAAATAGGAATAATAAAAAATAGCAGTCGCCACTGGATGGAGGATGGGTGATTAAGTAATAGATATATTGGTCCTTGGTCCCAGGCCCAAGCTCCGCTAGGCTCACTGTTGTCAACAGGCCCTCAAGAATAGATGTGTCCAGGCTGCCTGCCGACATCCCTGGAGTTCTCTGCCTAACATCACATCTGAGCTGCAGAAGGGATGAAGTGGTCGGGCCAGGCTTTTTAATTATTCCATTTTCTGCCAGTGAAAGAAACTGAGGCAGGAAAAATCATAGCCATATGCCTCTTAACTGAAGTCTTAGCCCACAGCCTGTTCTGGTGACCACGCATGCTCTGAGCACAGCACCAGGTGAAGCAGAGGTCCCAGACCTGAGCACCTGGGGTGACGCATGCCTCCAGGGAGGACAGTGACATGAGGGTGCCCCAGATTCCTTTCGCCAGAGAAATCTACCGTCACTGCTTCCCAGGAGACCAGGCTCACTACCAACAGTGGGACAAGCTGCCATCACACACCTACTGATGGATGCTAAAGGAGACGCAATGCTCCCAGGCAAGGTTCTTGTTCATAAATTCAAACTTGAACTCTATCACTTCTATTTTGCAGAAAACTCAGCAGAAAAGAATGGATCAGACTGGGATTTCTCTAGGACAGCTCACCTAGACTTTGCAAAATAGTCAGTGTCAAGAAAGATAAAAAGGTGGGGGCGGGGGGAGAAGGACAGTTCTAGAAGAGCTTAAAATAAAGTAACAACCAGGTACTAAACTGTGATTGAACTTGATTAAAAAACAACTAACCACTGGACTATGGTGATGGCACATGGGTGATTTGGAGGTGGAAAACCCAAGGGGATTGCAACTGAAATGGAAAAATGCACAAAAAGATGTAAAAATAAACTATTATAAAATTAAAAAAAAAGTCACATAACACACACACACACACAAAGTACTAATGACATTTTGGAGAAATTCCTATATCTCTGGGTATTAATCTCTAACACTAGTTAGAGATTATTCTTTTTTGGGCAAGATTACAGTCCTAGAGTTAAATAAGACTTACTCTTAGGAGACAAAAGAGGAAGTACTTGGAAGTGAAGAGTCATGCTTCTTCACCTTATTCTCAAATATATTTATCTTACACACACAAAAAAACAAAGCCAATATTCCAACATGTTAACTGTTGAATCCAGGCAGTAAGCACACAGATGTGTTCATAACACTACTTTTTTTTGTTGTGTTTACTACAGTATTGTCCCCAATAGTATAGTTTTAGTATATTGTAACTTTTACTAATCAAACAAAACTGAAAAAATGAACTATACTCATTAACTCCGCCCATATAAGCTCTTACTGTCACCACTGCCCCCAAATGCCAAGTGACCCCATCAAGATGAAACACTCTAAGGACAGTGGGAAATTACATAAATTAAGGGTTTATTACAAAAGGCAAAACTGTTAGTTTCTTACTGTCAGTGTCAGTGTTCAAGGAAACAAGGCCCTGAGCCCTATGCTCCTCTCTGGGTGGGGCTGGGCGCTAACAGCCTAGCTCAGGAACGCGACGACAGGCACTGGTTCACAACCTCCAGCAGGTGGGTGTTCTCCAGGGCAGCAGCCACCCGCTCCTTATCCGCAAGCTGCTTGTTCACTGGATGGAAGGAAGGAACAGGGAAGGAGGGTGAGAGCCAGGCTGTGGCCAACCTTCTAAGCCCCAGCACTGAGCATTCGTGAACACACACCCCTCTCCCCCAAGAAGGCCTCTCGCACCTCCTTCTCAAACTTCAATCAGGCTACCCAACCACCTGAGCCCACAGTGACCCCACTTTCATGGTCCCTGCCCCAATGGCTGCTCATATCTGCCTTCTACCCTGGTCTTGTGTATTTAAGAGAGAGAGAGGGCAGGAGTGGAAACACAGTGAGCCAAGCAAACTTAAATCAGGCCAAGGCTGTCGGCTCACTGAGGAGTCACCCACTCAGCACCTTCCACCTTGCCTTACAGATCACCAGGGTGAGGTGAAGCTTCAGGATTGATGCCTCAACACTAGCCCACACTCACCTGCATGTTCCGAAGCATGGGTCCCTGGTGTAATGTGAACATCCATCTGGAAGGGAGACAGGCAGGATCTGAGGCCTCACCAACTGTCTACCTCCTTTGTCCCCTCTCCCCTACTCACCACCTCCAGCTGACCCTTCTTCTTAATTACGCCTCTGGACACTGGCCCTTCCGTTACATCTCAGACCCACCCCAAGTCTACCTAAAGGCCTGCCTGTGGCTTATCTCCGCTCCAAACCTATCTACAGGGCCCACTGACTACGCTGTCACACTCCTCACTACTTTTCTGCACTTTCCAGCTGAGGCCTTTATTCTTGTCCTGCCCAGTTGGACAGCTTCCTTCCAGATTCATGGCGGCTAGCTGGGATCTTTCCAAGCGCTCCCTAATATCTATGTTCATGCTTTCCACTTCTTCCTCTCCATGTGCACACTTGCCCCACCCCTGGGGCTCAGTTCTGACTTATCTTGAACAAACAGAAACAACAAATAAAAACTAACTTACCTTGAAACGTTGGGGAAGGGATCGCAGAAGCTTCACTTTGATGGACAGGCCAATAAGGGTGGCCATGCTGCAGTGGGGGATGGTGGGGGTGAAGGCCACAGCCACTGTGCTCTCCGGGTCACTCACCTGATTGAGGGAGTAGGGGAATCATGGCCTCTCCAATGCGGAGACTTTTCTTAGTTACTTCAGGCAAGTCATCTGACCTCCATTCGCCCCGCTGGCCTCAGCCATAAAATGGGCACAATAATCACCCCCCTTTCAGAACTCCCAAGGAGCTCATGAGCTGAGAGACCACCAGCACAGCTGGGCCTTTCCGACTCTTTGAAACAAGTCTCCTCTATCAGATGCTGGGAGTGACTTACCTGGACGCGGACCTGCTCTACTACGTTCAGTTCTTCTAGTGTCAGTGGATGCTCCGGGTCATTGATGGAGCGAATCAAATGTGGCAAGTGAAGGAACAGACTCTGCGCTTTGCCCCCTCAGAACCCTCCGGCAGGAATGCCCGGCCTCAATAGGGCTCCACTCACTACCCGACATCACTCCCCCTCCCCGCCCCGCGCGAACCCGCCCGCACCCGGCAGCTGCGGATATCAAAGATCTCGCGCGCGTCGATGCTGTCGGGGACCTGCTCGTCCTCCTCGCCCGCAGTCACCGGCCGCTCCCCAGAGCGCTCATAGATGAGCGGGTTAGCGTTCTCCAAGAGACCGAACCCCATCCAGCCGCCGCCGCCCAACATCGCGCAGCCACCGCCCAGCGCTGTCAGAGAGCACTTCCGCTCCAACAGGCGCACTTCCGCGTTACGGGGCGGGGCGGGGCGTGGCGACGGAGTCGCGCGAGGGACACGCAGCTCCTCGCGGTCTTCCCTTGGGGCTCGAAGAGATGGGCAGATTCTGCGTGCTCTCTACCCCGTCCTGGGAACTGCCGATCGCTCCAGCAGAAGCACATAGGAATGATCCCGACGGTGCTGGGTCGGGTACAGGCCGGCGGAGGCCAGCGATGCTTCTCGAGGGGGCTGGAGCCGGCCTGAGATTGAGCCGGTTGCATCCAGGCGGCCACTTCCTCCGGGAAGTCCGCCGCTCCCGCTGTGCAGGCGCTTCCTAGCCGAGCTGCTTCTCGCCAGACTTTGCAGCGTTTGGGAACTCCCCCAGGTGGCCCCCGCCTGCATTCACCTCTGCATCTTGAGGCAGGGAGAGCCCGTAGCGGGTCCCCAGCGCGCGGGCTTGCAGGCTCTTTTTAAGTGTTTGTCAAATGGGCAAATGATCTTCAACTCGATTTTGGCGGGAAGTGGAGAGAGGCAAAGTCGCAGACGGGGTTCGGTGTGTCCTTAAGAAAAATGCCAGAGTCAATGTATGCACTTCAAAAGGTGGACCTTGGCCGAGTGTGGAAGGCCAGTGGGAGGTGGGGAGAGGGGGTGAAGGGCCTTGAAGGCGTGCCGAGAAACTGGGCTCTGGAAGCAAGGCGAAACTTTCAGGATAAAGGACAGTCACATCTCCCTTCCTTTCCCTGCAACTTTATCGAAGGTTGCTCCTATTTCACTACCAGTGGATATCCTTATCGTGCTAGTCAGTAAAGTTCTCCAATCATAGCTCATTTCTCCTTAAAACACCCCCCTCCAGCCCTGCACCCCCCAACCGCACCCCATCACACACATTCTCTCTTTTCGGGGCCCGCGGCTATGTAGTGATCGCAGAGAGTCCAGATTCGAGGAGAGGGTTCTTGTTCGTGCTGACAGGGGTGCTAAGCATCATAGCACCAAGCTGGCTGGGACCACGGAGAATCAGCGTGCCAGCGACTGCTAGGAGGTGATCTTTGTTCAATGCCGCTTTGCAGATTAGCTCACTTTACCCAGGCCCAGCCCCGCAGGTCCCGCCTATTTCCTGCCCAGTTCGAACTCCGGACCTGAACCAAGCACTTACTATTAATCTGCTTAGTCCTGGGCAGCCTCTCGGTGAAAAGTCGCGTGCCCAGTGCCCATCAGTAGTGCAGAAAAAGACCTGTGAGCCCACCATGCGGCTGGACAGACTTCACTCGCGGCTTCGTGTCGTTGCCTGTGGGCTCCTGCTTCTCCTCCTCCAGGGCCAGGGTGAGGATCCGGTGGGAGGCATCCTGGGTTAAAGGGAGCTACTGAGAGGCGGGTCAACCGGCCAAAGTTTGCAGAACTGGGACCTGAGGGCCTGGGAGGGAGTAAGGAGTCAGGGAGTTGGAAGCCCCTGGAACAAGACAGCAAAAGAACTGGAGTCCGGACTTGGTAACTGCTGGGGGTGGGAGAGTGAAGGATGGGGCTGTTCTGAAGCCACAGAATACTGAAGGGTAGAGCCCAAAGGAAGAACTCTGGGGAGCATTCAGGTGGAGGGAATTATACTGTTTTTAAAAAATTCATCAGATTAAGTGTAAAGATATAATCAGGTTTACCCAGTGATTTGCAATTAGTGCATCATTCCCTTGGTAAGCAGAAAGAAGCCCTAGAACTGTACAAAATGGAAGGATTTTATAGAATGAAAGGGACCAGACAGGAAGAGAATGGACTGTTCACCTTTCCTGGTGGGAGGGTGCCATGGAAGGCAAATTACCTGATGGAGAAAATCGGCACCGGCTGGTTAAGATTACAGATCTGGGAGAAGCTGGAACTGTATTTGCATTTGTTATTAGGTGTTAATACAGATGGCCTTGGCCTTCGCACAAGTGACTCCATTTGGGCCTAGTGTGTCTTTTGGCACCTTCTGTTTGTGGTGGAGCCAGCACTGACCAGGGGCAACAACATCTTTGCTATTTGGCTCTGCATATTGTGCCTGGCAAGGGAAGGGCACCCTGGCACCCTGTGAGTCTCCCTTGAAAGGAGCCCCAGACAAGGTTACTAAAGTGACTTATCCCCAACTACCACCACATCCTAAAGGTTATGGAGAAGCTATCATGTCCTCTTCACCCCATGCACCTGATCCAGGCAAGGGCAGGTCTTGGCTTCCAGGGCAAAGGTGATCATGGTTTGTGCCAACTCTGGGTTGGACTTCTGGGCCCCTTATCAATAACAAGCTATATGGGCACGGTGCCTGCCAAAGGTATCCACAGCTCCTGGGAGCCCTCTCCAGGAGTATAATCTCACTCACAAAGGCCTTATTTACCTTTGTGACCTACAAGCTCTCCTTTCTCAGTCAAATTGCCCAGGAGACATCTGTGTGGCTCAGCCCACAGTGCTTCCACCTTACCCAACACTTACCAGACTGGGGGAGGTTACTAGGACCCTCCAGCATGACAATCTGCTAGACCTTGATGAATCCTCCCTTTAAAAATGTCGTATGTGGGGTTGGACCCAGTATGTATCTGTGAACAAAAGGGCACAGATGGGAGGCCTGATCCCCTCCCCTCCACTCAGTTCTGGCTCTTCCATGGAACTGCCAAGGTCCCCAGGGCCTTTTGCACACTGCCTGGGAGTTTACCCAAGAACGATATTTGCCCACATCCTTGACTTTCACCTCGTAGTCATAAACTCCACCCTCACCCTCACTTAGGACATTCAGCTTTTCTACTTCCTGACATAGGGGTGACTCCTCACACCTTACATGGTAGAGCTTCTTCATACTGTTTGATGGAAGGCATTCTCTTTAAGAAGAACACATCCTTGATGCAACTACCTTTGCTTCAGGACGTTTCAGAGTCTTTACTCTTTTACTGCCACAAACATGAGGCATTGGAGGCCAGTGAGCCTGGTGGATTACTTGGACAGACATGATATTCTGCAAGGAACTGCATGTGGACAGCACAGTACTGGAGAGAAGGCTGGGCCTCCCGGCTCGGAAGGGCCTTGCTTAAGTGCTCTCTATACACAGTGAAGCCCATGAGTAGTGGCTGAGGCTGGTCTCCCCAACACTGGGTGGCTTCCAGCACATTGATCCTTATCAGTTGGATAGGTGTACAGACTTGCCCCGAGGTTGTTGGGTAATATTGTCTTGCTGTTTTGTTTTACCTTTCATTATGAAACCAGGCTCAGGTCTGTCAAATTCTGCAGTGGCAGAATCTGAGCCAACAAGAGGGAAGCTACCAGGGAGGCAGGAGCCAGTGGTGATAACAGGGGAGCCAAGAGCCTGACTGGATGCTCCCCTATACCCCAAGGCTGCCTGTTTGATGAATAGTTTAACCATCAACTGTCAACAATTATCCAATCAAGTAGGGCAATCTACTTTTTCTTAAAAGATTTATTTATTTATGCATTTAAGAGCTGGGGTGCCAGCCAGAGTTGGGAGGGGAGCGGGTAAGAGGATTTACTAGAGCTGAATGAGGAGCAGAACAGGAAGAACTAGGGCAAATACACTGCTGAGGGGAGCAGTGGGTCACCTTCTTGGGGGGGCTCAAACTCATGCTGCCCTGGCTGTGGCTTAACCCCTTGTGCACCAGGGAGGCCTCGGGCAACCTACTTTTATCTAGACTTCTCCCTTGCATCATTATTTGAAACAAATCCCAACCATATCACCTGTATATTTTTCATCATGTCCTGCTAAAAGAAAAGCAACACACCAGTAGCACACTTCTGTAATACAATCGGCTGTTTAGTCAAACGTTCTTATCGCCTGTTAAGTAAGTGACATTTATAGGGTTTTTCTTTGAAATCAGGATTCAAATAAGGTCCATACTTTAAATTTTTATCTATGTGGCTCTTTTTTTTTTCAATTTTTTTTTAAAGATTTATTTATTTGTTCATACAGAACTAGGGTACAGGCCAGAGGCTCAGGAGCGGCGAGAGGCTTCACCAGAGACAGAGTGGGTAGCAGAACAGGCAGAGCGAGGAAGTACACTGCTGAGGGGAGCAGCGGGCAGGTCAGGAGAGGTCTGCCAAGACATGTGGTCACCTCCGGGGCAGGCGGGAATTGAACTCATGCGGAAGTGGCTTTAGTTTCTCATTGCTGCGCTTTAACCCGCTGCGCTATGTGGCTCTTTTTTAATAACAGCTTTGAGATATAATTCACACAGCGTCCCATTCACCCATTTTTTTTAAGATTTATTTATTTATGCATACAAGAACTGGGGTACAGGCCAAAGGTATGGAAGTTGAGAGGATTCACCAGAGACAGAGTGGGAAGCAGAACAGGCAGAATGAATGAAATCCACTGCTGAGGGACGCAGTGGTTGAGACAGGAGAGGTCTGCTGTGCCCTGTGGGTCAGCTCCCTGGCTGGGGACTGAAATCAAGCTGCAGAGGCTGAGGATAGCTTCACAGTGCTGTGTTTTAACCCACTGCAGAGAGGCCCTCCACTCACCTCTTTGAAATACAATTCAATGGTTTGAACAGGGCCAAGCGTTTACTTCCATCATCCCCCTTCACTGCAGCCTCAGCAGATTAGTTACTTTCTGGCTGCTTGGATATGCCAGTTCTGGCCACTTCCTATAAATGGAACGGCGCCAAGAAAGAAAAGCTTCTTTCTGAAAGCAACTCTTCACAGTTCATCCATGTTGCAACGTGTGTCAGAGTTTTTCACAGCTGAATAATATAGTCTATGCTTAGATGGGACACATCTAAGTTCCACTAGTCAGCTGATGGACATTTGGATCGTTTCCACTTCACGTACAAGTTTTTATGTGGACATGTTTTCAGTTCTCTTGGGTATATACCTGCAGCTGGAATTGCTGGTCATAGGGTAATCTGAAGAACTACTAGAATATTTTCCAAACCACCTGCATCATTTTATTTTCTCACCAGCAATGTAGGAAGTTTCCATTTTTTTTCTGCATCCTCAGCAACATTTGTCATTATCTATCTTCTTGATGTTTTTCATGACTCCTCTGCCTCTTCTTTTCCTTGTGAAGAACCAGTTTATTTGTTCTGTTGAAAAAGCCAGTTTATTCTAGAGAGGATTTTAGAGCTTGGGTTTTGCTCTAAACACTCACTCCTGTAGTGTTTTTTAACTGTTTTCTAGTCCCCTGAATGTCTGTAAACTTGGATTTATATTCTAAAGGCTAGATCAGATTCAGATTTTGGGTTTCACTTTGTTTTGGCAAGTCTACTTCCTGTGTGGTTCTGTGTGACATCCATCATACAAGACGCACCATGGCTGATTGTTGCTTTTTGTAACTAAATAAGTTGTTGTCAGCAAAGCTTTCGGTGTACCTCTTTCTTTTTAAAAATATTTTATTTGTTTATTTTTGCATATAACTGGGGTGCAAGCCAAAAGTGTTGGGGGTGAGGATTCACCAGAGACAGAAAAGGCAGACTGACTGAAATACACAGCGGGTGAGACAGGAGAGGTCTACTGTGCCGTGTGGGTCACCTCCCTGGCCGGGGCTGGAACTGAGGGCTGGTGGCAGCCAGTGCTGAGACCAGTGTGACTTCTCAGCATGAGTGAGATGGACATCCCTTCACTTGCTTATGAGTCATGTAATTAATTGTATTCCTTATTCTGTCTGACATTTTATTTGACCATTTCATATTTTGCCAAATCGTGGACAATTCTTATTCCTTTGTAGAAATTCTTTATTTACTCAAAATATCATCTTTCTCTGGTAACTTTAGGTCACTTCCTTCCTCCCTGACTTCCCCAGCAGAGTAGGCAGCACGTTTTACATTTCCTTTGTGGTTCTCTTCATCACATCACTGTTTGAAGGAGGCTTTCGTTATGACATTTGTGGCCATCTAAAGCATGAGAGCCCTAAGGATGAGAACTTTATCTGTGCAAGGCCCACATTTTCTCCACTGACAGGTGACCTGGCACACGGTCACAGTGGCAATGACTCACCTGTTGGGCTCATGTGACCATCTGTTTGAATCTCAATATCAAACTCCAAGGAATCTCTGAGTGTGGTGGAAAAGCCGGGGCTGGACCCAGCGAAGGCACTGGTAGACAGGAAGTGAGGCAGGGTAGCAGGCAGGAAACTGTAAAGCAAGGACCGGGTACCGCTGGCTTTGAGCCGAACTGAAGATGAGGAAGGAGGTAAAGACATCAGGACTCTGGGAGGGCAGCTGATTGGGTGGACCCAATCCTGAAAGCCATTCTTTGCCTGCAGGCCAGGACTCTTCCAGCCCCATCCGGAAGACGCACACAGGGCAGGTGCGGGGGACCCTTTTCCATGTGAAGGACACTGGTGTGAGGGCCTACAACTTCCTGGGAATTCCTTTTGCCAAGCCACCTCTAGGGCAGCTGCGATTTGCACCGCCTGAACCCCCTGAGTCCTGGAGTGGTGTAAAGGATGGGACCTCCCACCCAGCCATGTAAGCAGAGGGTTCCGGGAACACCCAGTCCTGGGGAAGAGGGTGCTTTGGGCCCTGAGTCAGGTTGTCACACCGTTTTCCCTCTGAGCGTGGTGGGTTCCCATGTGCATTTTCCCAGTGAACGTGCTGAGGCTCAAGGGCAAAGTAAACTCCCAGGATCAGAGGCTGGCACTCAAAGGGCATTAGCTCCATGTCTGGAAGAGCTGAGCACAGACACATGTCTCCCTGGGTTCTGGTTATGTCAAGTGTTCTCTGCGCCCGGAGGAAGGTATCCCTGCCAGAGGTTGTTAGGTTCCAAGAATTTTGTAAGAGCCCCTATCTCTACAGATCCCCAAGGGATGGGAGAATCCCCCCTCCACAGTTACTGTGCCAATAGAGGGGACCAGGTGCCACTGGTTGAGGAGCGTGAGTATGTTCTTACAACTAGAGGCTGCAGGAGTGATGAGATTCTCTGAAGTTTCTGCATTTCAAATGATGGATGTTTCCCTGTCTTCCTGAAGCACTAGTAGTGTAGGGATATAGTGGTGAATGTCAATACCCACCACCCGTGGTTCTCATAGAGAACCCCAAAAGTCAAGTTTCCCCAGTCCCAGGAATGTTGATATTGAAGGCCCTCACAAACTTGAGACCTCTCTGAAGACTGGGTTTCATCCAGCTTCCTCAAAGCCTGAAACTTGGTGGGGAGGGGCTTCAGGGAAGGACCAAGTATGAGCAGGTATCAGGGGAAGGGGGACTGAGGGTGACTGGGAGCAAATGAGCCCAGGATCTGGCCTCGGCCACAGCAAGGCCCCCAAGTGACTGCCCACCCTGATTCTAGGTGTCTGCAGAACGCCAATGCATTGAATGGAATGCCCGTGAAAATGCTGAATCTGACTCTACCTGTCATCTCCATGTCTGAAGACTGCCTGTACCTCAACATCTATACACCTGTCCATGCCGACGAGGGCTCCAACCTGCCTGTGAGTGCCAGGTCACAGCCAGCAGGAGTGAGGCAGGATATTAGCTCTGTAAGCAGATTAGAAAGACACGATCAACCTGGGCCCTGCTGCATGCACTGTGGAGCCTGTTGATGAGCCTCTCGATGGGGCCCAGGGGTGCTTCTTTCTGAGGGTGGGCAGCTGACTCCGAGCCCAGACCCTGGCTGCTCTGAGGGGCCCAGAACACACCCAACCAGGTCTCTGAAGCCCGGGAGACATGCTCAGGTGTCAGAGGACTGCACTTTGAAGTGGCTAGAGACTCCATGGATTAACTGCTGGAACAATAAGGATGGAGGATACTTTTTTTTTTTTTTAAAGTTTATTTTTACATCATTTTGCACATTTTTTTTTCATCTCCATTGTAATCCCCACGGGTTTCCCATCACCAAATCACCCCTGTGCCACCACCATAGTCCCGTGCATTTCCCTCCCTCCCACCATCCCGTTTTTGATCCCATTCCCCACTCCGCCCCCACAGAATGTCTCTGGTCTATGGTTGTTCATTATTTTTGTTATTTTCTCGCCTGGTCCATTATATTCCTGCTATGAGTGAAACCATCCGGTATTTTTCTTTCTCTTTCTGGCTTATCTCACTCAGCATGATCTTTTCCAGCTCCAGGATGGAGGATACTTTTAATGGGATGCTTGTGAGATGATCAGGGAGACACCCCTTTGCTTTCCACCCCAGAGAGGGTTCTGGGAGAAATGGAAGCAGGCTTTGGTCCATGGGGCAGACCTCAAAGGACGGAAGACCTGGTTTTCTTGTGCACCACCTTCTTTTCCTAAGTTGTTAGGCAGACAGAGTCATAAGAGGTGATTGGTCCAGGTAGTCCTCATGGGGTGTTTGAACTGGGTGGGAATCATGTGACCTCTGCCTCGGTTTCCCTAGGTGATGGTGTGGATCCACGGTGGGGCTCTGGTGATGGGCATGGCCTCCATTTACGACGGCTCTGCGTTGGCAGCCTTCGAGGACGTGGTGGTGGTCATAATCCAGTACCGCCTGGGTGTGCCGGGCTTCTTCAGGTGAGACTAGGGGCTAAGCTTGGCAACCTGGGTTGAGTGGCGCCACAACAGTCCCATGACCCCCATCCCTGCCACCTTTCAGCACTGGAGACAAGCATGCCACTGGCAACTGGGGCTACCTGGACCAAGTGGCCGCGCTCCGCTGGGTCCAGCAGAATATTGCCTACTTTGGAGGTAACCCTGGCCGCGTCACCATATTTGGCGAGTCTGCGGGTGGCACAAGTGTGTCCTCGCACGTCGTGTCCCCCATGTCCCAAGGACTCTTCCACGGCGCCATCATGCAGAGTGGTGTGGCCCTGCTGCCTGGCCTCATTGCCAGCTCTTCTGAGGTGGTCTCCACGGTGAGTGCCCTAACCTGGGAAATTCCTGACCTGCAGCTTCTCCCTTGCTTCTCAGTTCTGAGTCCGCTGTTCTATCAGTTAAATGGGGGTGACCAGACTCCCCTGCCAAAGAGCATCTTGGAAACTATTACCTGTTCAGGGACGGTAAGGGGTTGCAGGGTCAGAACTCCTAGACCTTTGCCATTGCAGAGGCTGGGCATGGTCTGTGATGGGCAAAGCTGCTGCCCTGGGGGGTTTCCACCCTCCAGGCAGGTGGGTGGCCCCACTGGCTGACTTCTGATCATCAGGGAGATTGGAACACTTTCAAAACTGCAGGAATCCACTTATGAGACTGAGATTTGGGATGTACCTGCTACCTAGCTGGGGTCTTGGGCAAATCCTTTTCCCTTTGGTATAGCAAAAAGGCTGAGCTAGCCCTGCCTGGTCTCTTACAGATGGTGACTGACCGGTCTGGCTGTGGCCAGGTTGGCTCAAAGGGCCTGGTTGACTGCCTGCGGGGCAAGAGTGAAGAGGAGATGCTGGCCATCAATGAGGTGGGCCTGAATGGACTCAGGTATGGAGGGAGGGGCAGAGAGGTGTGATTCAGGCAGGCCTAGCTGCCCTTCACACCCCCTAGGGTGAGTTACTCCATCTCCATGGGGAGGCTGTGAGTATCCAGAGAGGAGCCAGGAGGGGATAGAAGGCACTCAGAGGGCATCAGAAGCGCGTTGGCTCTGACCTCATGTGCCCCTCAGCCTTTCAAGATCATCCCCGGTGTGGTGGATGGGACCTTCCTGCCCAGGCATCCCCAGGAACTGCTGAGCTTTGCTGACTTCCAGCCTGTACCCAGTATCATTGGTGTCAACAATGATGAGTTTGGCTGGCTCATCCCCACAGTGAGTCCTAGCCCCAAACATCCATGTAGGGAGAACCCACCCTGTGTGCATGTTGGGGGGGGGCTGGACTTTGCAGCTCCAAGCCTAGCCCCCCCCCCAACTTGAGACATCCCCAACCCCCAGGGCATGAACATCTCTGACAGCCAGAAGGAAATAGACAGAGAGACCATGAAGACTCTTCTGCAGCAAACGTCAACAATGTTGGTGAGGCTCCAGGCACCTGCCCACTGGACAAGGCCCCCACCCCTCCCAAGGCAGGAGAGACCCAACCCTGAGACAGACACCCTGTTCCTGCAGCGCCTCCCGTGCAAATACGGGGCAGTGTGTGATTGTGGATGCTTGGTTCCCGCCCCATCGCCTGTCCTATCTCAGAACCCATCTCTCCCACCATGACCTGCTGCCTCCCTGCTAATCTGACTCTCCCTGATCCACCTGGAGTAGAGGTTGCCTCCTGAGTTTGGGGACCTGCTGATGGAGGAGTACACGGGGGGCAGTGAAGACCCCCAAACCCTCCGAGCCCGGTTCCATGAGATGATGGGGGACTCCATCTTCGTGATCCCTGCTCTCCAAGTAGCCAATTTTCATCGTGAGTAGATCCATAACTACAGCCCAGGGCTGTAGATACTGGGTGACATCTGTCAGTGTCCAGGTCCTATGGGTTATATACTTGTTGGTAGGTGTCCAGGGCCCTTACCCATATCCATTTATTGAGCCGTTGGCAGGCAGGCAATCGATGCCTCATCTGGGTAAATCCTCACAGCCAGTCTAAGACAGACACTTTCCCCATTCTACAGAGGAGGAAACAAGCTTGGTGACCTTCAGTGATTGCCTAATGCCAAGAGCTAGGATGGTTCAAGGCTGTGATTTGAATCCAGGCGCTTCCCTCTGTCCTTACTTCAGCCTGGGGCTCTCTCAGTCTCTGGTCCAGATTCTATCTGCTTTGGACCTAGCTATGCCAACACTATGGTTGGTGCAAGAAAGCTCATGTGAGCAGCTACCATCGCCTGATCTGTCCACCCCATCCCTCTAGGTCCCCACACCCCTGTGTATTTCTACGAGTACCAGCATCGACCCAGCTTCTTCAAAGACATCAAGCCGCCCCACGTAAAGGCAGATCACTGCGATGAAATTGCCTTTGTCTTCGGAAGCGCTGCCTTGATCAGAGGCCGTGAGTTCCTCGGAGGGTCTCTCAAAGGCTCCTTGTTCCCAGATGTGGGGAGGGACCTTGGCTGTGTCCCTGAGTGAGGGTGACAGCCTTTAATGTACAATTGAGGGAACCAGCCTCAGAGAGAGGACTTAGGTGTCCAAGATCTTAGAGCTCGAAATGCTGAGCTAGACTTAGAGCCCAAGACTTTATAGACTAGGACCTGTGCTGTCTCCAATACTCCCCATCCAAATCATGTCTGGCATGAATGCAGGGGGGAGTGTTTCACACGCATACTTGTATCTTAAATGACTTTCCAGTGTTAAAAGGTAGAGGCATTTTAAGCCAGGAAAGAGCCCATTTTAGGTCAGATCAACTGGAGTCTGGGATGAGCATGAGCTGCCATGGAGTTGTGAAGAGCAGAAGTCCAGCCTTGGGGAGGAGCCAGGGCAAAGTACACCTCCATGGTTAGTGTGGTGGGGGATGAACTGTGTGCTGACCTGGGCGTAGCCCTGACTTGGACTTCTGTCCTCTGCCTATCTGTAGTTAAAATCACTGAGGAGGAGGAGGCAATGAGCAGGAAGATGATGAAGTACTGGGCCAACTTTGCTCGAAATGGGTGAGCTATCACATCCCTACCTCAGCTTCCATGGGGGGCCTACATCCCATCTGGAATTCCCTTTGTCTGTGATGACCTTATTAGCACATACATGTCTTCAATTGCATGTTGGCCCCTC